TAAGACATGGCCCCTTACACTGCCTAATGGAACAAAAACTGAGTTTCTATGTATGACCTGGCATACTACTCACTGTGTATATGCTATATTGGCTCTAAATTTGGGCCATGTCTCCATGAGAAACTAGGGAGACACCAGAGTGTTGTATCCAGTCACTTAAGTGTTTATATGGTATATGTCCTTGGTACTGCCTGTTTGCTCATGTAGGTAGTCTAAGTGAAAGCAACCTTGGGCAAAACCTGAGTTGTGGTCAGTCTCTAAATGCAAACCAATCTCTTTGGTCTGACATAGCTTAACAGTATTCTCTAGGAAATGGAAAAAAGTACAGAATAACTGGAACAGGTGGTACAGAGTTGGGAGTGGTGGAAATTTTAAAAGTACGCAGGGATGATGACATCACTTAAAAACTTTAGTAAGCAGGTCTTTATCTGAGAAGCAGTGAGAAGCCTATAACAATTTTTGAGGGATGTAATTACCAGATTTTCATTTTAAAAACAATCATAATGACACTGTAAGAAGAGATTCAATAAGGAGAAAATAGAAGGCTGCTCTAATGATATAAGTGAGAGATGATGAGCTGAATGTCTGTGGCAGTTGAGAAAGAAACATGAGAACAGCTGGTAGATATCAGTAGTGTGGGAAGGGAAGGGAAGAAGAAACCAGAGGCAAACTCTCCAGGGTTTCTGGCTGGGCAAGTGCATGAATAACAATTTCATTCTCTGAGATAGAACACCAGAAGGGAACAGGTTTTGGAGGGAAGACAATGAGTTAAGTTTGGAGGTTGTTGTAGCTGAGGGACATAGGACATGTCCGACAGACAACTTTTTAGCCAAGTATGGATATATATGTAAAAGTAGAAATTTCAAAGAATGAAGTTACTTTGAGAATGTGAAATATCAAGTATAAAAACAAGGATGATAGGGGGATAAGAAAATATAGCCTTAAAACATGTGCTTACAAAAATTAAGGACCAGAGAAGCATGGTGAGGTATAAGCTTAAGTAATGTGTGATGAATAATTAATGAAGGATATTAAAACTCAATTGTCACCATGCACAAATCTCTTTCCCACAAATGTTTTTCATGAAATGAGAGTAATCTTTTGATGCTGGTGTTATTGTTGTTGTTGCTAGAAAAGAATGTTGCAGTTTGAGCTATAATGTCTTCTGGAAGTTTTATTTGTTTAATAAAATGCAGTAACTAGACACCCCAACCTACTGAAAAATAAAAATCTTGCTACAAATACAGAAGAGACATAGCTCACCCCAAGCGTTTGGCACAGGGATACAGGGACTGTGATGTAGAGCTTCTTTCTCTGCAAAGAAAATGCATCTAAGGAGAGTGTGAAGTTTGTCTCAACACAGTTGACACGTAACCATTGTGTGTTCAAACTAAATTTGTTAATCTGGAAAAAGCACCACTGGCAGATTTCTTTTTTCTCCATTAAGCAATGGCGCAGCACGGAACAGTGCACTGCTTACAGCAGCTGCCTCATCTTTGAAATCACAAAGTTTAAAAACACTACCTATGATGGAAATGCACAAGCCCTAGACCAGGGTTCCCATAAACATATTCAGTGAGCATCCAGACCATGCGTCCCATTCTTTATTGCACAATTTATAGAAAACTTACAGGGAGAAATCTGTGATTCCACTACATCCAATATGGTTTTTTTGTGTGAATTTATATTAGCTGGGGCAAAGAGGCTATATATGATATTTAACACACATACATTCCTTGCTTGCCACTTAACACGTATACACAGACCCCATGCATACAAATACAGATAACTAAGCAATGCTTTATTTAAAGTGCTGGTCTTTTGTAGATTGGTAGCATTCTCTAAGAGTTCACATAAAAAGATACATGGGTGCACTGTAAGTATAACTTTAGGACAACCAAGTGAAAATATAAAATCTCATTTTGGGATACAAAATGATGTAACTCGCATGTCACTGTTATCCTCTCTTCTAGCTTCTGAATACATGGGTATTATTTATGTTTTTGTCATGTGACACAAAAGAAGCTTCTGTGAGTTTCTCCCGAAAATCTACTTGCATAAATCTGTTATTTGAGATTCTACAGAAGTGAAACTGAGGTGGGTGAGGGTTCCTAGATGCTTTTTATCTACTTGAACTACAATATGTTGTGCCCAGAGTAAGAGCAATACACTAACTTTAAATGTCCCCCTTTTTCAGCACAAGTATACAAACAGAGCAGGGCTGCTCGAAATACTGCCACCTAGTGGTAAGACCTCTCATCTGTTTTATAAAGCACTGGAGTACTATGGCATTGTTAGGTCACTATGCTACTCTTCACAATTTAAAATTACAGTTCGATAAATAAACTTTAGGAAGAATAGGTTCTATACTACTTTAAGATGACTCTACTTAACAATGATATAGCTTCAAATAGTTAGAAGGAAGATACTGAATGTCCCAAACACAAATAAATGATAAATGTTTGAGATGATATGCTAATTACCCTGATCTATACTATGTACCCCACAAATATGTGTAATTATTATTTACCAACTTAAAAAACAAAAATTAAAAAACACAAAACAAAACTAAACTTACTAGAAATTACCATTTTGTTGTACCCCAAAAGTTCAAGATATCTATATACAAATGCCTAAGAGTGACAAGTATCTTGTAGAAGCAGTAAGATATGATTATTTAATAACCTAATATATCTGTTTCTGAGTTACTGAATCAACACTTTTCACTCAGTAAAATATCAAGGAGACAACTGTTCATTATACACATTGGCATGGATAACCAAAAAATCTTTTATTTGGTTTTAGAATGTTGTAGTACATAAAATGAAATGTCTCTGCCTAATAATCTGTAAATTTACAAACTTCAAACAAAATAACACACAGTGAGAAATTAGACAATAATCAACCTTTCTTAATATGTGAAATTATTCCTTGATTTTTATCATTATTATTAAACAAAAGAATATTTTAGATGACTTCAAACTTTCTTTTTCTGTGTTTAATGCCTTCCCTGAATCGGGGGAAATGGGGTATTCAAATGTCACACTTTGCTATGGAATACACAGAGTTAAACTAAAGAAGGTATAAGGTTGTTGCAATCTTGCAACACATATCACAGTATCAAAATTGCTGGTTTATCTACTATCATTCTTCACTGGATATTAAACATCTTGAGGGCTACAATTCTACTTTTTTTAACCTATTCCAGAAAATCAACAAAATTTTGACTGAATGTATGAATAAATGATGTTTAAAAAGTTAAAAATAAAAATAGAATCTAGATAGCTTTAACTATAAAATCTGAAAAAATTGAAATCACAAAATGTGTGTTCAAATCTTACTTCATCACAAATTATGTGGTTTTGGCTTCTACCTCAGTGAGGCTCAGCTTTCTTATCTGAATAAAATGAGTAATGCCTATGTATCTCAGAGAAACTGTAAAGGTGAAATGAGGTAATGTGCATAGTAGTCTTTTGTGCCAAGCAAATGTTAATTGCTGCTATACTACTGCACATACACGTAGAACATATATGTATAAAGTAATTTTTTCTAAGATGCAATGTGACAACTTACATTAAAAACATATACCATTTTTTCCCAAATGAAAAGTAGCTTAACTCCTCTTTTTAGGCTATAGGCATACTCAAAACCACTCATCCAAAAAAAGTCCCCAGCTTTTTCTCTTTTCTCATAAATACTGTCAAAGAGTCAACACCTATGCATCCGCTTTCTCAATGCACTGAAATTGGTCTCAGCCAACATTGCCTATAGATCAGTATCAATATGGTTAATCCACTTATTTCTTCTCATTTTATCCCTAAAGAGTTCTTTCTGAATACTTCTTATGTCAGTGCCAGCTACCTCAAAATGACTATACCCTATTTTTTTTGTTACTTCTATGGCTTTTTTTTTTAACTGGTTCAGCTTCTTATTCTTCAAATGGAGGTATCATATGAGGTTCATCCCTAGACCTTTTTTCTCGCTCTAATTTCCACCTAGATGATCCAACCTGCTCTAATTGAATCAAGCACCATCTCTGCATCACCAACTTCTAAATCTGTCTTTGCTCAAATTCCCTCCTAAGTTCTAGTTCTACGTTTTTAATTGTTCACCAAATATTTCCATCTGGATGCACTTCATTCTGCGTAAAGTCAAATCCATATCCTCTCTTGTCCCAAACCTCATCCGTCTCATTGTTACCACTCTTGGTAGGTAGCCAAGTAGAAATCTTGGAGTCATCAATGACTTTTCCACTCCTCCTCTCCTCTTATTTCCATTACCTGGTAATAGGATCTATCGATTCTATTTCTGAATGTCTCTAATGCATCTATTCTCTTCTCCATTTTAATTTCCACTGTCTCCACTGGATCATTATTTATTTTTTGAAATATTTTGATCGCCTCTTGTTTAATCTCTCTGCTTTAGTCTCACACATTTGAATTCATCCTGTTAAACATGATGATGGGGAAATAAAAATACTCCCTCCCCCTTTTTTATGCCTACTCATGGCCTGGAAAATAATCTCCAAACTCTCTGACATGGCACTTGAGAGCCTTCCTAATCTGCTTCCAACCTGTTTCTCTACTCCTAAACTCTTGCCCACATCCTTCTCTTCTAGAATATGTTACGCACTTTTAACTTCATTCCCTGGTAATAGTGTTCCCTCTATCTGTTATAGCTGTTCTTCATTTTCCAAAAGCCTCTGCATCTTTTGGGCCCATGTGATATACAAATTTCTCTGCAATATCTTCTTTATCCCCTACTTCTTTTATACTCTTCTGTTATTAAAATGAAATTTAAGTTGAGGAACTGTTTACCTCCTTCACTGCATTACACTCAAAGGGGAAAAAAGTCTTATGACTTTTGATTTACCTATTCTTAACACAATGCCTGACAAATTCAAGGTACTCAATAAATATGGAATTGAATGAACCTATTCCTGATTGATGTAATATAGGGAGAACAAACTTTAAGAAAAATTCTCATCCATAAAACATACATACTGATTGTCAGTTATTGTTATAAATAAAAATCATTTTGCTTTGGATAATAGTGAAAATATACACTAAAGATGAATTAACTACTGTAATCTTTATGGCTTTAAGTAAATCAAACAGCTAAATTTCTCTCTTGCAGTCAGTTTGGAAGGATGCAGGAAACATTTATGCAAAAATCCAGTCAAGTATCTGTAAAACACATAAAAATCAAATATGAGACCCTTAATAGTGCTACTAGAATATCAAGTTAAAAATCATAGTTTATTAAAGGTTTTTCTATGTTAAAGAGCTATAGACATTGTTAAGACTAAAAGTCATAATTTTTTTTTTGAGTCGGGGCCTCACTCTGTCACACTCAGGCTGGAGTGCAGTGGTGTGACCACGGTACACTACAGGCTCAATCAAACTCCTGGGCTCAAGTGATCCTCCAGCCTCAGTCTCTCAAGTAGCTGGGACTACAGGCATGTGCCACCATGCCTGGTGGCTAATTTATTTTTATTTTTACTTGTAGAGAAGTTCTTGCTGTGTTGCTCAGGTTAGTCTCAAACTCCTGGCTCAAACAATCCTCTTGCCTTGGCCTCCCAAAGTATTGGGATTACAGGCATGAGCCACCGTGCCCAGCTAAAAACAGCATTAATTTGGCTAAATGTAACTTTGGGAAAAATTACATATATTCTAATGGAGCAGTGCTAAACCACCATGATGAAATATTTTTGTATAGCTCTAACAAAAACATCTCTAATAAATGTGATTTTAATAAATTATACTCAATATTGCTCTGTAACTGTACATCAAGTGTCAGCAAGCAATAGCCTATGGGCCAAATCTGGCCCCTCAACTGTTTTTTGTTTGTTGTTGTTTTAAATACAGGGTCTCCCTATGTTGTCAAGGCTGGCCTAAAGCGAGCCTCTCATCTCAGCTTCCCTAGTAACTGGGACTACAGGCACACACATCGCTGTGCCTAGCTCCCTCACCTGTTGTTGTAAATAAAGTTTTATTGGAACACAGACATACTCATTCATTTCTGTATTATCAGTGTCTGCTCTGGCTGTACAATGGCAGATTTTAGTAGCTGAGACAGATACTTATGTCCCACAAAGCCTAAAATAATTACTATCTGGTCCTTTAAAGAAAAATCTGGCCAACTCGTTACAAATAATCAGTTAGAAATTTAGTTGAAAACTTGCCAGTTTGTATACATGAGGATTTATTATTCCAACATTTAGATCTTTTATGCACAGATTTATTTTCAAAAACAAAAAAAGAAAGGTATAAGGATATTATGATAGGAAATGAACAGATATCAAATACATAGGAGAGATAAAGGACACAGGTACAAGGTTCTTTAAAGACCAAATTGTTTTATTTTTGTGTATTTAACATATGCCTGCCTTATTATTCTTCATTAACTGGGAAAAGGCATGGCTGCTCTTTATAATAGAGTCTGTGACTTAAAAGGAACTTTTCTACCACCATTACATCACTAACATTGTAGAAATGCAATCCTCCGTGCAGGAATAAAGGAGTAAAGTTAAATATATAATTAATTATTGTTATAAATGAGGGGAGAGAAAGGCTAAAAGAGGAAGAAGGAGAAAGGGAGGGAAAAAGGAGAGAGGGACAAGAGAGAGAACGAGATTAGAAAGAGGAGACAGAATTTACTGTACCTCATTCTCTAATTGATATAAAGCCAATCTGTGTACCAAAATTAAGGCCATCTCGGAAGTGGGAGAAAAACTTTTCAGGATGGCAGGATGTACAGAGGTTGAGATCTTGGTTCTGGTCCTGAATATTCTGTGGAAGAATTCCTCCCTGTTCCAGAAGAATCCTTAGGATAAAGATTTTTCAAAAGAGAGCAACAGTTTATTTCTACCAATATCCAAAGGCATATGAAAAATGTATGGGTGTTGGTGTGAAAGAACTCCAGGAAAAATCTACTTAGAATGGTGTAAATTGTTATTTACGTATAGGACTTGAACAGAGAATGGTAGATTTAATCATCATTTATCACCTAAGTTCGTATGTGAACTGTACAACCTTCCATACTGTCTTGCAGACATGATCTGGGTACAGAATTTTATAATCAAAACAAGTACTTATCTAAGAAGAAACTTCTAAAGTTACTGGGGTATCAGACAAAATTCATTTGGTTCAGAGTATGCGTTTTAGTCATCTGACCCTCCATCTCCTTTCCTCCTATTATAGAGATTTTTCACAGAAAATCTGCCTCTCTATCAACACTTTATGATATGAAAAATGACTATAAATTAGTGATATTTGATCTCACAAATAACATTTAAGAATCCATTTTAATCTTTTCTACTTATGTACTAAATGAGCTAGACTCTGGTAAGATTTTGCTGACTGAAATAGAAATATGATTTAAATCAGACATCAATTTTTCTTTGTAGTAATGATAAATAATATTAAACAAATATTAATAGCAAAACTTCATACATTCAAAAATGTAGGGGACCATAAAAAACTTGAAAGTGACTATGTATTCATATTATCTGATATTTTTCTTTTTTTTTTTTTTTTTTTTTTTGGTTGGAGTCTTACTCGGTCACCCAGACTGGAGTGCAGTGGCCGCTCCTGGCCACCGCAGCCTCGCCTGCTGGGCTCCAGCAATCCTCGGGTAGCCGGAATTACAGTTATGCGCTACCATGCCCGGCTGTATTTTTGATTTATTGTAGAGGTCTCGCTGCCCAGGCGGGTCTCGAACCCGCGGGCTCAGGCAATCCACTCACCTCAGCCTCCCAAAGGCGCAGGATTACAGGCTGAGCCACCGAGCCTGGCTTATCTTATATTTTGCTAAGAAATACAGTCCTATAGTTAATTAGACAATAAGAATAATTTTAAAATATCAGCTTTCTGATAGTTTGTTACACTTAGGAGAATTTAGCTGAGGAATGGCTGTGAAGTAAAGTACATGTCAACTTTTCGATGCGAAATTTAAGTAGATCATCAAACAAAATGTCAAGTGTTTCTTCACTTTTATATCAATTAGAAATATCAGACAGGAACATTTCTATTACTCAAACTTAAATGAAAATAGATTTCATGTTTGAAATGAGTTTTTTGGGTTTTTTTGGTACATATGTATGGCAGCTACTTAAATAACTGTCACCTAAATTTTTCTCAGCGTTACTAACTATTCTCTAAAATAATTTGTATTTTAGAGCAATAAGCAATAACCAGTTTTGTTGTTCCAGCATAAAATCAAACATACCTGGTGGCTTTTCGGATGTCAATATAGGGATTTGGTGCATCAAATAGTCGTACACACGCAGGATGAAGATTATGAAATGCCTTTGCTGATTCCTTTGGAAGCGTAAAACAGCAAGGTCCTATTGACGGTCCAAGTACAACAACAATGTCTTCCAAACTGCAGCTGTATTCTGCTATCAGAGCATTCACTGTTGCCATAGCAACACCTAACAAAGTACCTTTCCACCCTGGTAAATAGGAAGGGAAAGAGAAAGCTAAAAGATATCAAAGTTTCACCTGAATTTACATGGAAGTTTAAAATAAGTAGAACTGGTTTGTGTATTTTTCAAGTCTAGAAATGATAAATGAGCCACAAAATTAATTATTACTTTCAGTGTGGCCTTTATATGATATATACTATACAAAGTGCCTGACACAGAAGAGACATTTACTGGGAGTTTCCATCTATTTCCTTTAAAAACTGTTCTATTCTTTTAGTTTCTGCTGGGATTACGGCTTCTTAATCTTCTCTCTCACTTTTACTTTTCACATTTTAAAAATTTGTGGTAAAAACATACACACAATTTACCATTTTAACTATTTTAAGTGTACAGTTCATGAGTGTTAAATTCACCTTGTTACAGTACAACCAATCTCCAGTACAAGCAATCTCCAGAATTTTTCATCTTGTAAAATTGAAACTCTACAATCATTAAACAATAACTGCCCGTGCCTTCTTTTCCCAGTTCTATAAAATCAACATAGTATTTGTCTTTCTGTGGCTAGCTTATTTCATTTAGCATAATGTTTTCAAGGTTCATATATATTGTAGCATGTGTCAAAATTTTCTGCCTTTTTAAGGTAAGTAATATTCCATTGTATGTATATACCACATTCTTCTTATTCATTCATCTATCAGTGGACATGTGGATTATTTCCACCTATTGTGAATAATGCTGCTACCTGCGTGGGTGTGCAAATATATTTTGAGTCCTGCTTTCAATTCTTTTGAATATATGAGGGGGGTCTCCCCCCCAAAACAGACTTCAATTATGAAAAATTGTGTATTTATTCTTACAGGTTTAAACTTTAGTCATCTTCAAAGTACTCTCTGCTTGATGCAATATACCTCTCGAGATGCTTGTTTCACTGCTCAAAACAGTGATGACTTTTAGTGCTTCTGCTGTTTTTGCTTCACCTCTTCCATATTAGCAAAATGTTTCCCTTTGAAGACTCTTTTCATCCAAGAAAACAAAAAAAAAGTCGCTTGGGCAAGATCAGGTGACTAGGAAGGGTGGGGCATGGGGGTCAAGCTGTTTTTGGTCAAAAACTGCTGAACACTCAACACAAGGTGGGCAGATGTATTATCATGGTGGAAGAACCAGTCACTTGTTTGCCACAACTTAGGACATTTCTTTCTTCCATAAATCATGGCACAACAGTCTCAAAACTTCCAAATAAAAACTTTGGTTGATCATTTGATCTGAAGGAACAAATTCCAAGTGTACTAGAAGAGACCTGCCCTCCAAAAGATAATTTTGGGTCTTGGGGTTCCCCCTCATATACCCAGAAGGGGAATTTTCTAGATTATAGGATAATTCTCCTTACAAATTTTTGAGGACTCATCATACTGTTTTCCACAGTGGCTATACCATTTCACATTCCCATCACTAGTGCACCAGAGTTCCAATTACTCTACAACCTCATCAACATTTGTCATTTTCTAGGTTTTTAAAAAACATATATTAGCCATCCTAATGGATATGAGGTAATATCTTATTGTGGTTTTGATTTGTATTTCTCTAATTTACAATCCATGAACACAGGATTTCTTTCCATTTATTTGTGCCTTTGTTAAATTTTCTTAGCAGTGTTTTGTAGTTTTCACCTCTCTCTCTTTTTACACTAAAATATATCTACCCATATTTCAATTAACAGTCCCTTTTCACACCCTTCTCACTTGCCCAACTGTTTCCTTGCCAGTTTTACTTGCCTTCTCTCTAATTGGATCTCATGGAGCTTTTTCTTTATTTCTGTTCCCATATAATTGCCAAAGACAGAAAACTAAGAATACTGCATTTTTCCTTTATTCCCTATATCTGAGTTTAATTCAGTTGATTCCCCTTACTCTTTTCTTCAGCATTCCATATGCATACCCGTCTAAAGCCAGGTATTCAGGTGAAGAGATCAATCTTTCCATGACGAAAGGAAGGATTACTTGGGTGATAGGTACAACCTACAACTTCCACTGGTAACCCACTGGATATGTGGTTATGGGAAGAAAAACAGAATGAAAACATCTATCTGGGTCTGTAAGTGGATGGGATATCAATGACCAAAATAGGAAACCTACGAAGTAGAGAAGGCTTTAGGAAAAAACGTTGAATTTTTGACACAATAATTTTGAGGCACCTATGAATATGCAGGCAGTGCTGTTCAGAAGAAGAGACCAGATAACCGAGCTAAAGAGAGATATCGATTGTCAGGGCTTTTCTACAAATGAGAGTGCACTCTTCTTCAGAGATCTTCTTTAATTATCTTCCTATCTCTAATTTGTCTACTTCCTATTTGATTTTTTCTTTTGGGATATGCACATGTACACATTAAAAGGTTTTTATTAAATTAGTCTCATAGAAGAATTTTATACTTTTTGATATCTTACTAAAGTAATGAGTATATAATGTATCTAATTGAATTCTGTTTCAAGGTCAATGTATTAAAGACTTGAAAATTCACACTTACAATTTTGTTCATTTTGACTAAAGCTTGACATATCTAAGCTTCATCTTAGATATTTTAAAACTAAATGTTTTAAAACCTAAGAAGTAACAAATCATATTCTCTTTTTATATCCAGGAGCCAAGAGTCAAATTTTAAATACCTTTTCGGCAAATATGCTACTTTTTAATTTATAGGCTAAAAAGCGAAATAGCCATAGATTTACAAGTAGAAGGAAATTCTAAAGATCATCCCTCATTTCACATAGAATCAAAATCACTGGATAACCTAAATGCTATTGTAAAATACCTTCAGAAAACAAAATTCCATAACCTTGACACAATATTTCTTCTGAAAATACTCCTTTGCTCTTATCTTGAGAGAACAGTTATAAATATATTTAGTTTAAACTAAATGCAGTTTTCAAAACATCTTGTTTTTTCCTTACCTCCCTACCTATACACTTACTGCTCCATCTGTGTGAACACCTTTCTGCAATGTGCCTAACATTCCTATTCTCTGTTGCTGGACTTCAAGGATTCTCCTAGAAAATGTTTCAAAAAGCAAGGAAGCTTTTTTGGTTGTTGTTGGTTTGCTCTGGTTATTATAATAACTGGAAGTGCTACTGGCATTAAGAATTTTAAGGGCCAAAGGTGCTCAGTCTGCAATATAGGATTATCTTGCCCAAAATGATAATAGCATGCTTGCTGAGAAACACTGGTACATAGCTAAATTTTACTTGGATACTTCTCTTATCTGTCCTTATAAAAAGAGTGTGCTGACCTCTTAGAAAAGCCCTGACGATCCCATCATTACACTTACCGCAATGTAAGGTAATTAACTGTGTATCATGCCCACCAGAAAGAAATTACAAGTTTTTCCTGTACTACAAAATTAGTAAAATTCTAAATGCTTAATTAAGTATACTTACCAGAGTGAGCAACCCCACATGCTTTCTTGACAGGATCTGCAAAAATTATCGGTATACAGTCAGCACCAAGAGCCGCTATTGTGACTCCTCTCTGATTTGTGGTTATTCCATCATAAGACTCAGGCTCCTTCCTTCCCATAATCCAGACGTCATTGGCATGATCAGTCTAAGAGCAAAGATGTGTCATAAAAATGTTTTGAAAGTGGGATTTGTCATGCCATAAGTTTTTCTGAAAGCACTTATTTTACTACAAAATTATATAACCAGCATAAGATTACCAGCATTCATTAAATATGTTACTTCTATAAGTGGTAAAATACCAAATTTACTTAGTTGTTTAAGCTTTTAGTATTATAATCTCTGCCTATTCCATTCAAAGAAAAGCATGCTTTAATATTATAAAATTCAAGGTAGTCTATAATGAATACCCTTCCACTAGAAATGGGTAAATCTCTACTTGCAGCATTTCCATAAAGTAGAAATTTAGCTTTCTTATTAAAGAAAGTTAATTAACAAATCAATGATATTTTTACATTCCTCGACTCAACTAAAGCTAAAATTCTGTAATCAATGATGATCCTAGTTCCTCCTATTGCTGATTTATAAAAAAATGGCCTTTATCACCATTCAGTCACCTCCATCACAGCTCACTGAGCAGACTTTGATCAATGGGGGACAAAGTGATTATAATAAAGAAATGAGGCAGTCTTAGCTTAACTAAGGTGAAGAGTTCAGCAGAAGTCCAGCAAAAAAGCAGCCACATTCAGGCTGTCACTTTCAGGCACAAGATTTCTCAGAAAACTCATAACCAAAGTTGCCTTCCCGATAAATGCCCATCTGCCTTGGGGAGAATGCTCTTCCTGATTAAGTTTTAATTAATCAGTTTGCTGATGAACAAAAAATCATATCTCACTGTTCCTGAGGCTGCTGTGGGTTTTGCTTATAAACCCTCACTTGCCTTGGTTCCATGACTCATCTCTAGTGCATGTGAATAAATCTCAGTTGTGCTTTTAATTAAACTGAATAGGCCGGCTGTGATGGTTCATGCCTGTAATCTCTGTAAGACCAAGGCAAGAGGATCACTTGAGGCCAAGAGTTTAAGACCAGCCTGGGCAACATCCAAGGCACCATCTCTAGAAAAAAAACTTAAAAAATTAGCCAGGCATTGTGGCGCATGCCTGTAGTCCCAGCCACATAAGAGGCTGAGGTGGAAGAGTCACTTGAGCCCAGGAATCTAAGACTGCAGTGACCTATGATCGTACCACTGCACTTCAGTCTGAATAACAGAGGACCTCTCTCTAAGTAAATAAATAAAATTAAACTGAATACATTTGAGTTATTCTTTGCTGAGATGATCCTGAATTGTATCAAGTCTCAAAAGTTGACTTCCATTTACAGGGAACGTAGGAACTAAGTAAGTGACCACACTCGATGCAAACAATAACATTCAACATGTAGGAAAGGTCATAGGACAGTTGATCCAGTTTCTATAATAAGGCAATGGCAGGAATTTTTAAATGAAGGGAGAACTGCTCCAGATTAAAAAAGATTTGAGAAACATTAAATTAAGTAGAATGTGTGGACCATATTTGGTTCCTATTTTAAGCAAAGCAACTGTGAAAAGACATTTCATGAGACAATCATGAAAATGTGATTATAAACCAGGTACTAGATGATACCAATGAATTATATTTAAAATTGCTAAGTGTAATAATAGAATTGTATTGGTTTAAGAAAAGATTTATATTTTCACGAATATGAAAAATATGTAAAGTATGTAAGAGTACATTTAAATGATGTCTGAGACTTCCTTTTAAAGATTTCAGGAAAAAAAAGAAGCAATAAAATCTTGTTAATTAAAAAAAGGGGGGGGACAGTGCTACTTTATTGTCTGATAATTAACTGAACTTTTAGAATTGAAGACTCCAGAAGAAATATACAGGTCCTTGAATAACATCATTTAGTTCAAAGTCATTTCATTATAATGTTGATGAGAAAAAAATCAATTCCTCACTTGGCCACTGATTGTGTAGAGTCTGCTTGTTCTCCTCGTGTCTGAGTGGGTTGTCCCTGAGTACCTCGGCCTCCTCTCATATCCCAAAGAAGAGTATATTAGAAGTGTCTACATGCTCCCACTCTAGGTAAGTGTGTGTATGTGTGTGACCACCTCTCCAGGTTGGTTCTCTCTTTGTGCCGCAAGCTGCAGGGATAGGCTCCGGTAACCCAAGACCTGAATTGGAAAAACTGGATTATCATACTTGTTTTTATTCTTCTTTCTTAAATGTATGTCTAGCTTACATTTATTTCAGTGTTTAATATTAGAAGTATTTTGACCTTTATTTAGATGTTTGGTGATGTTTTTGTGATCAGAAATACACCTCAGGAACTTAACTCTTGTTAATGTCAATTAGCCTACAGTAAATTGGTTTTGTTATGAGTCGTTTAAAGTTGCAGTTCTGGCCGGGCTCGGTGGCTCACCCTGTAATCCCAGCACTTGGGAGGCCAGATGAGTGGATTGCCTGAGCCCACGGGCAACTTGACAAGACCTCATCTCTACAATAAATCAAAAATTAGCCGAGCGTGGTAGCACACGCCTATAGTTCCAGCTATTTGGAAGGCTGAGGTGGAAGGATCGCCGGAGTCCAGCAGGTTGAGGCTGCAGTGGCCGGGAGCGGTCCCTGCATTCCAGTCTGGGTGACAGAGTGAGACTCTAACTCAAAAAAATTAAATAAATAAATAAATAAATAAAGCTGCAGTTCCAAGAAACAACCTATTGAAGACATTAAGTGAGGACTTACTTGTGTGTGTGTATTATATACTTAAATATAAAAATATAATATGTTCATGGGTACATGTATAAAGATCACTCAAGAATTGCTCTTTAATCTATGGTATATAAATGTAAGAAAAGCAATCACAGTTATCAACCTAAAATTTTAGATAAAACACCAGATGTAAAAGTTAAACAGCTTGATTAAAGTCCACGAAGATACTAGAAGAACTGAAGTAAAAAATGTACTTTATATACACCAATGTAAAAAAAAATGTACTTGAGATCTTCCAAAATACGAAGCAAATTTTTACCTTTATCCGGTAAAATTTCTCCACATTAAATCCTGCAGCATTCGCCAACCTATGTAGATTTTCTTGAACAACTGTTTTGGGATCTCTCCGTTTGGAACTACTGAAGAGATTGAGTGAGCTAAGAGTTGGTATATAAGATATCCCACCTGTTCTTGTAGTAAATCCATGTATAAAAATATCTGCTGAATATAAGTAGTAAAGATTAAAAAGCTGCCATCCGTAAGACCATAAAGCATTACAAAACCCAATCTCTCAATTTAGACCTTCCCTGGTCACTTTAACCTGCCCCTGTTAATCTGACTTTTAATTTCTACAGCATTTTGAAACTCCATATGTTCTTATTACATTCTGCTTTGTGTTTGTTTACCTTCCCTATGGGATCATTGCTCTTCAAGGGGTATCTTCTGTCCCATCTGTCTTTGTTATACACAACAGCATACATCTCCCAACAAATACTGTTTAGTCAAAAAGTAAGATTGTTTTAAATTTCACTCTTCTATGAAGAGGTGCCAACAGGTTGAAGTTTCAGAATTACTAAATAGAAGATTTTCAGGGTCATGAATCTCATTGTAAAGAAGGGCTGAGGAATTTGTCTTAAAGCCAGATTTGCATAAAGCTAATTTATTTATTTAGGGTGGCTTTGAAGGGGCTAACCCTTAACACCCCTGACAGGACAGGGCCATCCAAGACACCTCTGTGTTGCAACTGATGCTGCTGAGCAATAAGCCCACAATAGTCAAAAAAAAGAAAGGAGGGGAAAAAAGAAGTGAACAACCTTGAAAGAAGGTCTTATTCTGCACGTACACAGTAAACATGACAGACAGAATTTAAGATACCTGGGATCAAAGGAGAAGTGATAAGAGTTAATTCTCCTTTCAGTGCTGGCAGACCTCTCAAATATATTTCTATTTCATTCTGGATTTCTTTCAGTTCTTGAGTCGTAATTATGTTTATTTCAGTGGACTCTTTCAAAAGTTCTTCCCTCAAAGTCACTTGTAAATCTTCAAATTCAAAATTGTAAACATCAGTGAAGAGTTGACCAATAAAAGCTTTAATTAATGTCTTCCTGTGCCTGGGTGCAATTACTTTAATGCTGCTCAGATTTTTTTCATCGATTTTTTGTTTAATGGTATACAACGAGGCAGCCAGGCTGTGACTGCTAGTAGTCTCAAATTCTCCCAAGAGAGCTGACAATCCATTGCTTGTTTCTAACTCACAAGTATCACGGTCACCACCCCTTTCACAGCTCATGTTACCGCAACACATTATACAAAAGAACTTGGCACTGGCAGCATGGTGGTCTTGGATGGCATTCAGTGTCTTCAGTAATGTCTGATAGCAGTTTTTTTGAAAGTTCCATTTCAAGCCAAAAAGATCGATCAAAACTGCTTCTACCATCCTTCAAAGACGTTTGTGTCAAATAAATAACCTGCAAAGAAAAATTAGGGTAAGAATATAAAATTATATCACTCTTCTTACAGTTGCAACAGAGATTTGTGTTAGCTTCAAAGATTAATGACATTGATTTTAAAAACGTAACGTAAAACAGCAACTCTAGCTTCCTCCCAGAAAAGCCAGTCCGCTCGGTCCCAAGAGATGATGACAGTAAAAGCAAAGCCATCTTTCAATTCATTTTGTGAAAGTGCTGATACATCTTTTCAGAACAAGAGTTCCTCTGTTCTGTTTTGTTGACACAGCACATTTCGAGCAGGGAATTACTTGTGGACTTGGACAAAGTCCTGCTTTTTAATTGCAGGGGCGGGGGTGGGGGCGGCAAATCGTCCCAGAAGTCGCCGCCAACCTGTGGGATGTATCATTCATCCTGCCATAGCAGATCACATTCCTTCGTGTGGGGGGCCTCAATTCACGAGGCTACACGCAGCCGCACCCGAAAACGCGAGTTCGGGCGAGACAAGCCTAGAAGGCGACAGGTTCCTCTCCAGGATGTGCACGACAGCCCACGCTTGCAACGATCGCAGCAGCGACTGCCCTGGGAACACGGCACGGGCCTCCTACCTGCATTCTTGTTCCCTCCCTCCGCGTGGATTGGCTCCCCCCAGCCCGGGCCCTCCACCGCCCAGCGGCGGGTCTTCCTGGGGACGCCCTTCTGGGCACGCCCTTCGCCCGGGGTCCCTCAGAAGTTCACTTCTCCAGCTTTGAAGGGGTGAGCGCCCACCCCATCCCCGTGCATGTGAATCTCCACCCAACGTGAGTCGCCGCCGGGTCCCTGTCCCTCCCAC